ATTGATTGGGCTACCTAAATTTTAAAATTTTGCAGGTTCCAAAGGAAACTTGGTGGTATCTGCTACCAAATACTGTATCTGACTTCAGCTAGTAAATTATACTTGTCCACTGCAAAAGCACCTTGGGGGTTTTAACAATGTAGTATTGCAGCCTATAGATAAGCTATTATGTAGTTAATATTTTGCATGGAAACAACTGAAAGTGAGCATTATAAGTCAGACCTCACATTAATTACTTAATTTGCACCTTGCAGCAGGAAATTAATTCATTAAACCATGGTCCGTATATTCAAATTTTGCTAAGAACATGCACACAAAACAGGAAGATGCTCATCTGCATAAATGCAGAGCTCTATCAGCATTTTTAAGAACCCCTCCTTCCCTCCTGCACATAAAAAAATTGTAAATATTCCTCACCATAAGCCCCTAAGGAAGCAATTAGCATATTAGGAGAGCTCTACCCAGTGCCCACTGAAAGATTCTATACACAAGGACTTTTCCTTCTCCACTTTGTGATAGTTTTGAAATGCCATGGAAAGTAATTACCACTAAAATTCATCTCTGAGTATAACTAACAAAATACAAAATAAATAAGATTGAAGCAATTAACATTTATATTCTATTACCCAGCTACCTAATTATACAAAGCTTGATGAACAATCCCAGCCTTCCCAGTTTAACAGTTGTCTGGTGTGTAAAAACAAACATTCTGTTTGAACTTCATTTGCAAAATGAGAAAATGATTCCATATTGTATTCCCACAGATAATCTCCATTGTTTTGTTTTGGCTTTAACTAGAATAGGTGAAAGTTATTTAGGGTTTTTTTTTCCCATATTAAAAGGATTTTGAAGCACACTTTTGAAAACTCTAAGGTATCATCAAAGACCACTTCCACACAAATGTGGGATGGAACATTTATTTCATTTTTAAGGAAATTTCCAAACTGCAAGACTAAATAAAATAGACACTAGGATTGCCATAATTGACTGTACACTTACAATTACCTGCACATAGACAAAAGAATTTTCTAAATATGTTCATTCTTAATACAGTAACTGAAGAACATGGAATTGTTGATTCCACACATATAACTCCAACTGGTGTACTGTAACTATGTTAAACTAGATAAAAACCGAGCCAGTTTTAATAAAACTCAATCTAAATAATTTAATTTAAGGAGTTAAATAACTAGACTATAAAATACTAACTTACAAACACTAATCTGTCCCAAAAAAATCATGTGTCCTGGGGGTTCTTAGTGTCACTTAAATCAAGAAGAGGACAACTTTTTACAGATATGCTGAGATCACTTGCAAAAGTTCGTAATAGCAAAAGACAAATTAAAATTAGGGCTTCTAGCCAAACTCTGCTATTTTCATTGACAATTTCCTCTGGTAAAAGACAGACTAACAGTAAGCAGCAAATATTTACTTCTGCTACTTACTGGTGCTTGAGGGGAGAACTTGAGAATGGCATCTGGCTGAATGAACACATCATAGTCACCCCCAAGAGAATTTTTAGTTAATTTTTGTTTGTGTATGAATTTTTTCTTAGCTATGCAAATCTAAGACTCTACAACTTAAAAAAGACTGAAATTTTACACCTTCAAAATCTGATGAAGTTACAAATGGATCTTCCTATATGCAAATGCATAACCCTCTGCAAATCCTACATTGGGTGAACAATGAAAAAAACAACAGAAACCTCCATTTATCAGGAAATAAAACTCCTTTAGTAACTTACACTGCCAAGTTTTTCCATACAAACTTCGACAAACTTAAACAGCCTCATTCTTTCTAAGGCTGGTATACTTACAGTTTTATTAAAAACTGATTTTTAAGCCTGCATTTTTCTTTTTAGCTGGTGACATTTATCAGTAGCTCAAACTTCCAAGCAATTTCAGTCTGTTTTGGTCTGCAATACTGTCTCTTCACACTGTCCTATTAGTTTTGATCCCATTTAACTCCACCTTTGTTAACATCCTTTCTACCTTGCTCTCCCCACAGCCTGCAGCACTGATAACAGAGACACACAAGCTCAGCTGCAGCACAGAGTTCAAGTGGGTGAGTCAAACCAGGTAACTCTGAAGTCCTGCTGAAAGAAAGGAAGCACAGCTGTGCAGAGAAGCACAGCTGATAAAAAGTTACATGAGTATTTATCAATTAAAATAACTTTGACAAGAAGATTAACTTGTAGTTACTCAAGTATTTAAATGGTTTTAAAACAGTTATTTTAAAACCTTTTATGAGAGCACAGCTCTGGACAGCATGAGTTTTAGGGCAACAAAATCACACACTTTGACCCTGCTAAATGACCCTTTTATACTAACTAGTTTGGAAAGATATATTCTACATATTTTTCTTTTAGAATTTGATTTTCCATTTTATTTTGAAAAGCTACTTTGAAAACCTTACTTCCTGTAAGGCAGCAATTATCCTACACTCTGTGGATAGCACGAGAATTCCGTACTGAGAGAACGGGTTGGTTTTCCATGCCCGCTTCATGGACAGGATGTGCCCAGACAGCTGACAAAACCAGTGTGCTGTTACTGGATTACTCACCAGGGAGAAGAACTCTATCTCATCACCTCCTTTACCTACCACCACTGGCCTCTGGGAATCTCCCACAAGCGCTGCACAGGACTCTGGAGCCCTTGAAATTTCAAATTGCAGGTCGGTAAGCTCATGCACTGGCATATGTTTCAAGCATTGACTTGCCCCTTATTATGTGAACAGCAATACTGCACAGGGACCCCTCCTCTCTCAGTTTCACAAGGAGGTAACTGAAGTCCTGCGAAAGGGAAAAGTTCCAAAATGAACAACTAACTTCCATGGCTCCCCCATCCTTAATTTCCTCACAGGTTTTAGCTCCTTGAAAAAAGAGAAATTAACACCCTGCTAGAGAAAACATCTTACCTAAGAACACAGATGTAAACTGCCTAATTTGTCACTGCTTGCATTTGCAGACTATAGAGAACACTTTTGCTAACCACTCTCTGGGATTTATTCCTTATTTATATCAACATATGTCATTTACTCAGTAGTCAGACAGCTCAGCAAAGCAAAGAGAAATGGCCAATCTGAAGGCCCTCAGGCCTCAGATAAAGCACAGGCATTTAATTTAATAACCTATATTTTGATATTCAACATGAAACACAAAGACTGTGAATGACATTCTCATAGGTAACCAAAGCTCTACATTTAAACTAAGAATGGGGGGAACAGAGGGAATCCTGGTAGTTCTGTAGCACAAGTAATATGGGCCAGGTCAATGCCAGATGCATGCACAGATGCACATTTTACCTACCTGAAATTTCAAATTTCACCAATTCCAGTTCCATAATGCAGTGTGCTCAGGAAACATTAAAAAGTGGGTAACAGTGACAGAGATCCCAAGCTAAAGAAAACGTTTTGGTAAATAATTATCTGTTTGTATTTACATTTGTTGTATTTCCAGTTCAAAAGGAACAAAATATTTTTCTTAGCACAAACAATATAAAGTGATGGTTTGGTTTTCAAATAGCAAGGCAGAAAGTTTTAACTGCACTAAGTTTTCATTATATCATCTAAACATTAAGATGGACAAGGAGAACAGGCTTCAGAGGCTGTATCAGTCTTACCATATAAGACATGAAATTTATTAGCAATCAGCTGTAAGTTTAGGATGACACAAGAATTCGAAACAAGAGCTAACCTTTTCATTTGATTGTCTTCTTTTCTTTAGTTGAATGAGATCTGTTTCCACCTTTTCGGCCAGCTCCAGCTTCCTCTTGTTCCTCTTAAAAGCTGCTAAACTAAACCCTATAAAAATAGTTCAAAAGCATGTAACTAAGTAAACTTTACTTATTTTAAGCAAATATTGATAAGTCGACATTTTGAAGGACACATCCCCCACTTCTTTACTGATGCGGAAAGCATCAATAAAAAGCCAAAAGCTACGTATTCAAGTTTCAGTACAAGATGTGCACATCTTTTCCTAAGTCAAAAAGTTCTACTATTCTTCACCAACAGTGATGAGTAAATATCTGGCTGAAACACAGCGTGAACACACAGAAGCTGGTGTAAATATCTTTGGCAAAGAAGCAGCACTGCACAGAAGAGAACAGAGTAAGTGGCTTGTGTTAAAATTGTTTTTGACTGCTGACAAGTAAATAGATACCATGTGAACTCATTCTGATAGCCATAAAATTAGGCTACTATTTTATTACCTTAATCACATATCTGTATGTTTACCCCTATATTTAAAGCCACACACAAGTCTAGCAGTAGTTTATGCTCCATAATCCAACACAGTCTAAAGACCACCTAGGTCTCAAGAAGACAAACATCTACTTTCCACATCTAAGCCCCACATTCAGAAAGGAAGTGCTCTCTAAAGTGGACTAAAAAATAAAATTGTTATGCTTAAGAGACCAAAATGACATGTTCCCATTTTAGAAGTTTCAGTTCATGAACAAATTGCAGATATCGACATATTTAGTTTAAATTAGTTCTGACTCAATATCATCCCCAGGCTGTTTTAACATCCTCTGTAAAATGTAAAGAGTTGGGGAGAAAATGTCTTTTGTCACTTGTTTAACCACACCAAATCAAGCTATTGGGAGAACAGAGCAATTTGAATCTTTTACTTACACAAGTTAGTCACAAGTTCAATGGAAACTAAAAAGCACACGTTTTTCTATAAACTTAAAAAAATGTCATTTTAAATGAAATTCTGAATATAGCTACATCACTATTATTCAGAAGACTGGAACAGCTGCATGAAGTCTAGTAATAAACTCAATATTGCAGAGCCAATGGAATCCAGAGCTTTCACTTACAATTCTCACAAAGCACACAGACAGTGAGCATTTTACTTTGAAACTTTTCCACACAGGTGTCAAATTCACCTAGTGAACTCTCTTTTAATCATGTTTTTAAGTATATAAAACTAGACCTTAATGTACACAGTTAGTTTTTCAAGTATATAACTCAAAAAGTAGTGAGAAAATCAGCATTTCTTTCCAAAAACCTAATGAATACCAGTTTTTAAAAATGCAAACCCATATTCATCTGCCATCACCAAGAAAAGAAATCATTCTACTATACAGAGTTGATTAATGCAGCTACTTTGGACAACACATTTCTGTTTGAAATGAGGACAAAGAGGTAAAATCTGAATACTTGATTGGGGGAGCAGGCAAAGAATCATTTTAGTCAAATACTAATTGGCAGTGGGGAGAAACAAACTAAAAACCTCTCATAGATCAAGAACTTGGTAAACAGAAGTGCCCCAAAATAAACTAAGGCAGCACATTGGTTTTAAGAGAACTTTTAAACAGGAGAACTTGTAAGTTGACACAAGTTCACCAAGCACAGCAAATGCCTATGGGCAGAGCAATAGAGGTGAGCAAGAATGGTGTGTGGCCTTGGTATTCCTCAAAAGCAGGCATTACACAGGGATAAATATGCCACTGCCTCCTGTCAAGTTGGAAAAAAAGTGGACTTAGAGAGGCAAAAGAGTGCAGGAGCCCACACAGGCAAACCTGAACAGGTTCCTTGTCCTTCAGAGCTGGATGTCAGGAGGAAACCTTCTGCAGCATATTTATCCTGCCACAACACACAAAATTCTCCAAGCTTGAGAGATGTTTCATTCACTTAAGACCACAGTCCCTAGCTAGTCCATTGATTTTCAGAGGTTACTGTGTGCTTTAAGATTGTCTTTTCAAAACAAGAAAAAACCTGAAGACTCTGAATGATCTGTTAACAATAACTGCTTAGCTGCATTGTTAATTCAAAGTGGTATGGCAAAGTTGTGAAATACAGGGCAGAAAAAAAGTCATTATTAGCAAAGAAGTACACATCTCTTGGGCCTTGTCAGACAGACAAAGACAGCTTTCCAGCAACATTTAATGATGTAGGCTGGAAGGGTTGTTAGAAGGTTGTGTAGTCCAACCTCCAAAAAAAAACCAAACTCAATTTAAAAGGATTTGTCAGATTCTGAGTACTTTCAACAATGGATATTTCACAACTCCTCTGGGCCTCTGCTTTGATATTTTATCAACCTCAGGTTTAAACAAATAAGGTATTAATTCATACTCCTCAGATTTGTTCAGTTTACCACCGTACCCATTATACCTGTGAGGGAACATCAGGTCTACTCAGAGATCCCCTAGAAGGGAGATTAAGTAGTTCAGGCTACATTCAACTTCAGAATAATTATTAGGATTTGCTTTTAGATGAAAGGTGAAAATTTTGTTTCAGCAAGGATTGATGAATAACAACCTTTCATTATTTAATGAAAATAATTACCAGTAATTATCAATTCCTCTTAGCAGGAAAAGCCAGCTAATACCTCCAAAGTGACAAAATAACCGTGAAATAAAGGACCAGGTTACAACTCAAAACCTGGCAATTTATTCCTCCGATAGTTTTATGTCCAACTTCAGTTAAAAAAAAAGTCTTGACTCTTACTTGAATCTTAAATTTGTTTTTTCTCCCCAGAATAAGGTAATAAAGACTAAGGCAAGTGACAGGCTGCCTACCCCCAGTTTATTCCTGTCTTTTGTGATGTTCTATCTATGTAAAACCACTATAAATGCCATTAAAATGAACAGTACTCTCATTGCTTCATCTCGGTCAACTAGTGACAAAAGAAACTGAGGAACACAAGTGAGCTTCAAACTACACACATAAAAGAAGAAGTTAGAGGATGTTTTCAGAAAACTCTAAGTTTGGTCCTTGACAAAGAACATATTAAAACATTAAATTAAAACATTTCATGAGCAAAAATACAATCCAGGATTCAAATGTGCTTGGTTAACAACGCACACACAACATGGAAAAACAACCCACAGAAAATTTGTTTTGAAAATAAGCACTACAGAAGACAGAAAGAAAAACGCCTATATGCTATTTCAGTTCATGGCTCATATTAAATCTAAAACAAAACCTCAACTTTGTGGTGCAAGGACACTACAAAATTTCATTTGTCCTTAAAGACAGTATAAAAACCACTCCCACCACCTCCAACCAGACAGTGTATTGCAAGCATGAGGAAAGGAAAGGGTCACAGCACAATGATGAAGACAGGTATGTTTTCCTGAAACAAATGCAATATAGCTACATCAGCCTGATGTTGCCTGGATCAAGGAGGAAGTAAGAGGAGCAGAGCTTACTGACTGGGGAGAAAGCCAGGAAGAGAGGTAAGGGAGCTGATGGAATTTTAGCTTGAAAACATTTTGGATCACAGCCCAGTGGTATGGTTGTTGAAATCTAAGGAACAGTATTTAGTAAAACATCCTTTGATTTTGCTCAAGAATTTAGAAGATGTAACTCAAACAAGTACGTTCAGATAAAATCCCTGACAATTACTACCCTACCCAGTAACAGCATGTACACCCCACCTCATGCTTACAAGAATTAAGACTTGAGTCTTGGGAGCTGCAGAGTACAACCAACCCATCTGTTCTGCTCCCTCATTTATGCACCTATTGGGATGAATAAAACCACCTCAGAGCTGCTGGGAGAGGAAGGAAAAAAAAGAAAAAAAAGCCCCACAGCTTTACAAAATGACTGTTCTTGTTTAAACACCATTCTTGGGCCTCATCCAGACTAAAGACTTAATGAGTGATAACTGTAGCACATCAGAACCAAAGCATTATAAATAAACCCAACTTCATTTACAGTATTTATCACACATCCCTGCCTTGCAGCATGGGGTACCTCTTCTGGAACAAATAATCTTCAAGGACCTGGAAACACCTTCCTAATCCTCCACATTCCCCCTTCAGCCCCCAAGGCACCAACAGGAGCAGCCCAGGTGAACTCTGCAATTTGGGTGTAGGTGTGCCAGACAGGGGAAGCACTGGTGGAACACTTGGTCATGGCAGAGGTGAGACAAGTGTAGGGGTTTGCCTGGGAGAAAGTTCAGTGGCTGAGCACAGAAACAGGTGGAGCAGCTCTTGCTCAACACCAATTGCTTGCAGGAGAGGTTGGCATCAGTGGATGTGGTATCAGAACATGCACTTGATAATATTTATCTGTAAATGCTGAAGAAAAGTCTCACAGGCTCATCTTGTTCAAAGCTAAGACTGCAGTAGATGTTCAAAAGGTTCTGATGTTCCCAGGTACCCTGATGAGAAAGGGTCACAAGATCTCCATTACATAATAAATTAGCACAAGATTCACCTCCTAAGCTATTATTGCTAGAGAATAAATACACATTTTTAACAGGCCTTTTTCATCGTTATCACCACCTAACAAAGAGATGAGAAAGTAATTTTCAGCAAGCAGGTCAGTGGAAGAGATCATTAATGTCTGAGCCATTTCAGAGATTCATCGGTGCCACCTGTTTGCCATAAAACTTCCACATTATTTACTCATCTCCTGTACTCTCATCATTCCCTTAACTCCTTTAACCATTATACTATATACAAGTAAAAATCTAATCAAAAATCTTGACAGTTCTATTAGATAACAATACAATGCCTAAGTAAATGAAACACAACTGTATTCTTCATTCTACATAACTCTTCAGAAGTTTCTTAGTTACCTTCCAGCCCATTAGGAATTATTCAGAGACAGGAAAATGAAAAGCAAACATGCCCTATACATGGAGTCCTTGAAACAACTGAATTCTACACACAGACCTAAATACAACACTAAAACACCTTTCCATTTTTTAAATAATAGAACAATTGATACATATCTGGTTGTTAATTCTAGCCCTGTGCACTTTAAACAGGCCTACAGATGACAGGCTGTTTATTAGAATACACTGTTTATTCATTGCCCAAAGTCAATGCAAAACATTTTTACTA